GGTTTTCCAACATCTAATATTGTTAAGAACTGTGTTTTACTTGTAGGTCGAGCAACATCTAATATTGTTAAGAACTGTGTTTTACTTGTAGGTCCAGCAACATCTGATTGATCAGATATGGCCTCAGCTTCGAGTTCTAGCTAGATCCTCACCTCAGGACAAGTACACTCTGGTGAAGGGAATCATCGATAGTAAAGTGAACACTAACAGAGAAGTCGTTGCAGTTACTGGAGATGGAACCAATGATGGCCTGCCTTGAAGAAGGCAGATGTAGGCTTTGCCATGGTATGTATTGACCAAGAAAGTGACTAATATTGTTAATCGTGTCAGCTCTGGTAGCTGTACCAATCAACTAATAGCTTTTGTTACAATAAAATATGAAAATTGTCTAAAGATATTTTAGAAATGATTAGTTATAAGTGTAGTTTTTTAACTTAAGAACAGAAGGTCAAATAAAAAACATGTATATTTAAGAACGGGTGGTTAGGGAAAATTGTGCAAGTTTTAGTATTTTATTTTATGTTTTAATAACATGAGGTCAGAGAATAAATTAATGTAAGTGTGAGTAGTTTATTTTATGTTTTAATAACATGAGGTCAGAGAATAAATTAATGTAAGTTTAGTATTTTATTTTATGTTTTAATAACATGAGGTCAGAGAATAAATTAATGTAAGTTTTAGTATTTTATTTTTTAATAACATGAGGTCAGAGAATAAATTAATGTAAGTGTGAGTAGTTTATTTTATGTTTTAATAACATGAAGTCAGAGAATAAATTAATGTAATTGTGAATAGTTTATTTTATGTTTTTTTCGTGAATAACAGGAGGTAAAACCAAATGTGTGTAATAGTCTTACTTTTAAAGAATATTACTTTGTGTATTTGTATCAAGTTGATTAGTGAAGACACAGAGTTGAGTATAATTGAGGATTTTCTGCAGGGGATTGCAGGTACTGATGTTGCAAAGGAAGCATCTGACATCATTCTCACTGATGATAACTTTACGAGTATTGTGAAAGCTGTGATGTGGGGACGGAATGTGTACGACAGCATTGCCAAGTTTTTACAGTTTCAGTTAACAGTCAACATTGTAGCTGTGATTGTTGCCTTTGTTGGAGCTTGTGCTATAGAAGTAAGGGAATTAAATACTGTTAGTAAGTTTTCTGGTAAATATTTCAAACTATTAAAGTGCTGGCCTTAACGAGTAAGAGATCCCTAGTAGCGGGTTAATAGGACCGCACAGTTTACTGAAAGGCTACTATGTACTAGTGGTGAGTGTAGGGAGGCTTGTAGCCTTCCAGAAGCTCAGATAAGGTGCCTAACCATTATATTATAGCTTAAAGAAATTTGAAAGCAAATTAAACAAATAATAATTGTTTCATATTAAGATAAATGGCTTTTTTAAAAATAAATGAATTAAAAATAAATTTACAAAAATAAATGGTTAAGTACCCAACTAGTTTGGAGGTACCTGTATGTAATTTTCAAGGGTATGCTATGTCAGAAGTTTGATGTCTTCTCTTACTGTTTGATGTCTACGCTTACTGTTTGATGTCTACACTTACTGTTTGATGTCTACACTTACTGTTTGATGTCTACGCTTACTGTTTGATGTCTGTGCTTACTGTTTGATGTCTGTGCTTACTGTTTGATATCTACGCTCTTTGTTTGATGTCTACGCTTATTGTTTGATGTCTGTGCTTACTGTTTGATGTCTGTGCTTACTGTTTGATATCTACGCTCTTTGTTTGATGTCTACGCTGACTGTTTGAAAAGTTTGATGTCTAAGCTTACTGTTTGAGAAGTTTGATGTCTACGCTTATTGTTTGATGTCTACACTTACTGTTTGATGTCTACACTTACTGTTTGATGTCTACGCTTACTGTTTGATGTCTACGCTTACTGTTTGAGAAGTTTGATGTCTACGCTTACTGTTTGATATCTACGCTCTTTGTTTGATGTCTACGCTCTTTGTTTGATGTCTACGCTTATTGTTTGATGTCTGTGCTTACTGTTTGATGTCTGTGCTTACTGTTTGATGTCTACGCTTACTGTTTGATGTCTACGCTTACTGTTTGATGTCTATGCTTACTGTTTGAGAAGTTTGATGTCTACGCTTACTGTTTTAGAAGCTTGATGTCTACGCTTACTGTTTTAGAAACTTGATGTCTACACTTACTGTTTGAGAAGTTTGATGTCTACGCTTACTGTTTTAGAAGCTTGATGTCTACGCTTACTGTTTTAGAAACTTGATGTCTATGCTTACTGTTTTAGAAGCTTGATGTCTACGCTTACTGTTTTAGAAACTTGATGTCTATGCTTACTGTTTTAGAAGTTTGATGTCTACACTTACTATTTCTTTGGATTTTGAATTTAGTTTGAGTTTGTTTAGTTAATTTGTGCTTAAAAAGTTGTTCTTCTTTGTATCATTCAGACGTAGTGCAAAGTACTTTGTAACTTGGTTAATGATAGTTTGGTTAAGTAAGAGGCTCACAGTTGTTGCTTGGTATTGATTCTAACGTTTACTGTATAATGATGTTATCCAAGTTGGTGGAATATATCAGTTAAACGTTTTATTACTATTCTGCAGGACAGCCCTCTGAAAGCAGTACAGATGTTATGGGTCAACTTGATCATGGACACACTAGCTTCTTTAGCTCTGGCCACCGAACTTCCTACCCCTGATCTATTATTAAGGAAGCCGTACGGCAGAACCAAACCTCTCATCTCCCGCACAATGATGAAGAACATTCTTGGACATGCTGTTTATCAGTTAATTGTGATCTTTACATTGTTATTTGTTGGTTAGTTAATCTGCTTTATATTTTTGACTTTAAGATCGAACATTTCTTTTAGATCAACCAGCATAGCATGTTTTTTAAATTCTGTTTAAAAGAAAAAGTTAAGTTACTGACTGTCAACTTTAGCAAGTAACAAGCTCATAGCATATGAAGAAGAGACAGAACTAGTTTCTGGACAATAATTAAGAAGTTAGAACTGTTGGTGTTAGCAAAAAACAGTGAACACTTTAAAGTCAGTTTGAAAAATATTAGGCCATTCACCAGTGTGAATGAATAGATGTAATACTATAGATATAAGCTTTGGATAGTCGAGTTAAGCAATGAAACAGTTTGTATAAAAACAAATCAGAACTACACTGGAAATGAGTTTCAAATGTTCACAATTAAATTTGCTGGATGAATACTGCACCTGCCTGTTTGAAAACTGTATTCTTTTTTACTTACCCTAACAAAGAATGCATGGATATGTGAAGTGACCATAGAACTTTATTCAATGATAAACATTTACCTTGCTTGTTTCCTGAATTATATGTAACATTTACCTTGCTTGTTTCCTTAATTATATGTAACATTTACCTTGCTTGTTTCCTTAATTATATGTAAC